GTAAAGTATTCAGTTGGCGTTCTTACTCTGTGCATTAGGTTACAAGTCTTTAACTCATATGATTCTAATCAATGTTACTCATATGATTCTAATCAATGTTATAGCATTCCCACACACAAACAACTCCTTGCATTAGGTTACAAATCTTTGACTCGTATAATTCTAATCAATGTAATTTTATTGATGCTTGTAGATTTTTCCTTAAAAAACTTAGTTGACATTCACACACAAACAACTCTGTGCGTTAGGTTACAAATCTTTGACTCGTATAATTCTAATCAATGTGTTTGTAGTTTTTTCTCTAAAAAAAAATTTAATTGGCATTAGGTAACAAGTCTTTAATGCACTGCATATCTCCATCTATCAAAAAAAAAAAAAAACTATAAAGAATTTTATTTTTATGATTTGCTTTATTTTAATTTACTTGAAAATTTAACTGTCTTCTGGTTAAAAAAAACTTTAAGTATTATTTTTTTTTTTACTAATGCTAATATCTAATTTGTATATAGATGACTGACTTTTTATTTATTATAGGAAGGTGTTTTTTCGGCCCATTGTAAGAAATACGGGCGCGTATGGGTCCGATGACTAGAACGGTCCGTTAACTGGTTAAAAATTATGGGCCAAAAATATTATTCAACGAACGCGTATGAGTCCGTGACTAGAACGGTTCGTTTGAAACTATATTACATTATTTTATTAAGTTTTATATGATGAATAAAAAAAAAGTTATTATCTGATAGACTTTATTATTCAAAGAAATTTATAAACCATGTGATCATGTGCATTAATTTTTCTTAAATTTATTTTTCAATTATTCTTGGTGGTTTCGTTGCATTCATCGGGTATGTACAAGAAACGGCCCAACAATTCCAAATCTTCCCTTCGATGTGCTGGTAATGGTTCGGGTTCTAATACTAAATCTAATGACGATTCGGTTCGCTGAAGTACCGATGTTGTTCTGACAAGACCTTAAGCGTATATAAATTTATTAATGTGATAGTAAGCAAAACATTACGTTTATTATGTGTATATAAATAAAAAAATACCTTGATCTGTTAATTGCCTACTATAAGCTAACTGTTGTTCATAAAGATTATTATTACGTACTCTTGCTCTTTCTATATTCTGTTTATGTAGTCTTTCTGTACGCTCCGCATCCACATTCATTTCTGTTTTAATTGGTTATTCTCGGCCTCCAAATTATTACATCATTTTTTAAAGTCATCCTTTTCTTTTGTTAGAAGTTTAATGTTATCTTTTAAGGTTTTGATTTCAGTATCTCGTTTATAAAGATTATTTGAAAGTTCTTCAATTTTTGCTTTATTCGTTTCACCTTCATCTATTAAAATTTGTAATCTTGCTACTTTAATAGACAAATTATCTCCTTTTATATTGTTATCATTGAAAAATCTTGTAACACGTTTTCTTTCACGCTTGAGAAATTCGACTTGTCTTTCATAAAATTTGGCCAGACTTTCGTACGGATCGATATTAGCGGAT